TGTGTCTGTGTGTGCTCCTGTGGGTGTCCCTGTGCAGGGACAGGCGTGTCCGTGGATGTCCATGTGCTCAGATGTCCCTACACACGGTCCCTGTGGGTGGGTGACCCCATGTGTAGGTGACCCTGTGGATTGGTGTTCCTTGTGGTTGGGTGACACTGTGAGTGGATATCCCTAGGGATGGGTGTTCCCTGTGAGCGGCTGTCCCTGTGGGTGGGTGACCCTGTGGATCAGTGTTCCTGCGGGTGGATGACCCTGTGGATTGGTGTTCCCTGTGGATGGGTGTTCCTCTGGGTGGGTGTCCCTGTGGATTGGTCTCCCTGTGGATTGGTGACCCTGCACATGGACAGCTGTTCCTGTGAATGCTCCCATCTCATGGTCCCGTTGTTGTGGGAGCATCCGTGGGGACAGGGCTGTGCAAGTTTGGGACGGTGACACCCAGGTGAGGGGACAAGGGGACAGTCCTTGCCCTCTGTGTTCCCTCCCAGGCCATGGGATGTGTGGGGGTGATGGGGGCTCTGGCTCCACAGGGAATAAATCATCTGTCTGACCTGGGAGAGCCGAGCCCAGGAGGTGTCCCAGACAGGGCAAGGGGACACCGTCCCGTGGGGACAGTGCCTCTGCCCCCCAGGGCACGAGGTGAGGGGTCAGTGACAGCTCCTGTCCCCCCAGGACACGAGGTGAGGGGTCAGTGACAGCTCCTGTCCCCCCNCCCCCCAGGACACGAGGTGAGGGGTCAGTGACAGCTCCTGTCCCCCCCAGGGCACGAGGTGAGGGGTCGTGCTCGGTGGCAGCGTCAGCAGGAGGAAGCTGAACACGAGCTCTGGCTATTTTTGGGTGCCTGTGGTGAGACACTGGGGCCAGACACAGGGAGAAAGTGTCCCCAGGTCACTCAGGGACTTGGTCACTCTGACCCCAGAGTCCCCAGGACGAGGGGACGCGCTGCAGCCATGGGGCTCAGGGACACTGGAACCCCCAGCTGGGTCCCTCTGGGGACAGGGGATGGGGGCAGGAGGAGGATCGTCCCCAGGGACCGGGGGACAGGAATCCCATGGCCACGGGTGACCCCACACACTGGGATGGGTCTGGGGGATGCACTGACCCCGACCCCACTGCCACTGGAGCCCAAAGGGAGGGGACACATGGGAGGGTCCCAGAGCCCCGTGCCTGTCCATGTCCCCAGTGTCCCCCCGACACACGGAGCATCCCTGGGGGCACACATGTGTGTGTGTCCCCACACAGGGGTCACGTATGTGCCCCCACGCACATGGAGCAGGGACAGGCTCACATGTGTCCCCACACACACAAGGAGCTGGGGGCTGAGGGGGGGTCACACATGTCCCCACACTCCCTTGGAGTCCCTAAATGTCCCCCCACACCTCCCGGTGCTCCCCGTGCCTCCGTGTCCCCAGCCCAGCCTCCCTGTCCCCCAAGGGCACTGTCCCTGCCGGTGTCCCCAAGTTCTGACCCTGTGCCACCGCCACGGGCAGCACCCGCCCCCTCCCCACGTCCCCTGCGGTGGGCACACACCCCGTGCCCACCCCTGCCCTGCCTCAGTTCCCCACACCCCGCACCCCCGGCCCCGCCGCGCCCCCGCACAGCTCATGACACAAGTGTCCCTCTCTCTGTCTCTGCCCCAGCCCGGGGGGGCCCGGCGGGGGTCGGTGGCCGGTGGCGAGTGGCCGGGTGTCCGTGCCGGGAGTGGCCGCTGCCAGCGCTGCCAGGGGGAGTATTTCTGGAGCGCTGTGCTCTTTCCAATCATGTGATGAGGACGTTATTTAAGGCGGCGGCGGGGCCGCAGCAGCTGCAGCCGGTGCCACGCTCGCAGCGCGCCCAACCTCCTGAGAGCCCCTCGCCATGGTGGAAGCCTTCGCGGGCACCTGGAAGCTGGTGGAGACCAACAATTTCGATGAGTACATGAAGGCTCTGGGTGAGCAGGGGGGGCTGAGCGGGGTCGGAGCCACATCATCACCTTTTTTTTTTTTTTACACACCCCTCTTCCCCAAATTGCCCGGTGAAGCCCCCCACACGCGGGGGTCTGGCGTGGAGGGACTCGCAGGCGGCGGGGGGGTCGCTGCTGCCTGGGTGGGTGATTTTTTGGGAGGGGCTCTGTGGTTCTGTGCGCGGAGGTTTGGGCTGGGTGAGGGGGTCTGGGGCTGCGGGAGGTGGTCTCGTTCTTCCCCTGGGCAACCCCTGGCACAGGGCGGAGGGATGAGATGCCTCCCCCCGGGTGCTGGGAGCCACCCGGGACCCCCCAGCCCTTACTGGCCCCCAAGCCCCCCAGCACCCAGCCCCAGCCCCCGCGCAGGGTGCGACCCCCACGCCGGAGTAGCCCGGGGAGGGGGCACAGGCACCAGCCGGGAGCTGGTGGGTGCCAGATCCATCCCTTAGCAACGACAGCATTCCCTGGCCCCCCCTTTGTGCCCCAGAGCCCCCCCGAGTGTGGCAGGCACGCAAAGCCCCCCAGGACCGTGGGTGGGGAGCAGTTCTGGGGATGAATCACGGGCAGGGAGGGAGAGCTCCGGGTGATGCCGCAGGGATCAGAGGAGCATCCTGCCCCTCCATCGCCCTCACCCCTCGCCCTCTCCCCCCAGGCGTGAGCTTTGCCACGCGGCAGATGGCCGGGCTCACCAAGCCCACCACCATCATCGAGGTGAACGGAGAGAAGGTCACCGTGAAGACCCAGAGCACCTTCAAGAACACCGAGATCAACTTCAAGCTGGGCGAGGAGTTCGACGAGACCACGGCGGACGACAGGCACGTCAAGGTGAGCCCCCGGCCCTGCCCCCGGCCCTGCCCACCCCACACAGGCGCTCTGGGCTCCGGGGGGTCCAGCCCGTGGCTCCAGGGTTCCGTCCTGGTTGCCTGTGGAAGGGGAACACCCCTCTGCCCGCCGGGGTTGGTGCTCGAGCCTGGTCTGGTCCACACAACCCCCCCTCAGCCCGTTTTGCAGCTCTGGGAGCAGGATGGGCCCCGGAGCTGACGGGAAGGTTGTGCAAGAGCCGGGCTTGCAAGTGCCAGCTTGCTCAAGAGGAGGCCAGGGGATGTAGAGGGGTGGTGGTGAGTGTCCCCACTCCGGGGGGAGAGGAGCACAAGACCTCTTTTTTGAGCCCCCTCTTTGCTGAGCCCCCTCTTTGCCCGCCCTCCCAAGCAGGCAGCTCTGCAGGCAGGGACAGGGACTGAGCACCCGGACAATCCCACCCAGCTGGTGCCTCCCCAGGGGCTGATGCATCCCCGGGGGTTCCTGGGGAGCCCAAAATCTTCTGGGCAGAGCTGTTCCTCACCATAAGAGCAAGGGAAAAATCACCTGAGGGAGGTCAGAGCACCTTTCATGGCCTCTCCCACCCTGCAGAGACATTTTCCCTTGCAGGACTGACCCAGCCCCTGCTTTTCCCTGGTTTCCAGCTGCTGGTCCCGCACACCACTGAATCCCCCATGCAGGGAGCAGCTGGCCCCCGTGCCCCCCACCCAGCCCGGGGGGAACCTCAGGGGGCACCTTGAGGCTCGCTGGGCACAAAACCCCTTCCCGGCCCCAAAGCAGGAAGCACAAGAGCTGAGCAGGGAGTGAGGATGGGGGGGAAGGGAGGGAGTGTGAGCCGGGCAGACACGGGGCAGCAGAGCCCTGCCCACCACCATTCCCACCCCCATTCCCACCCTCCGGAACTGCTGGAAACTGTTCAAAGCAGCAGGAACGTGTGACCAGCCAAGAGCTCCTGCCCAGCCCGGGGACGTGGTGCCCCTCGGCCGGGGGCCAGAGGGCACGTGATGGTTCAGCAGGGGCCAGGACGAGCCACGGGCTGCAGGGCTGGGGCAGGAAGGGGGGTGTGGAGCTGTGGGGCACCCACGACTGCATGGAATCATGGAATGGTTTGGGTTGGAAGGACCTCAAAGCCCATCCCGTTCCACCCCCTGCCATGGGCAGGGACACCTTCCACTAGCCCAGGTTGCTCCAAGCCCCGTCCAGCCTGGCCTTGGACACTTCCAGGGATGGGGCAGCCACAGCTTCTCTGGGCAACCTGTGCCAGGGCCTCCCCACCCTCACAGGAAAAGTTTCTCCCCAGAATCCCATCTAACCCTGTCCTCTGGCAATGGTTTCCAGGGCTGTGGGGCACTCAAATTCCTGGAGGTACCCAAACTCTTGGGCACCTGAGCAGTGGGGACAACCCAGCTGTAGGGAGAGCTGAGCTCTGGGGGAGCACCCAGAGCCCTGCGGGGTCCTGGGGCTGTGGGGACACAGGAGCTGTGAACCGACCCAAGCCATGGGGGCACCCGAGGGGGTGGGGGGCACAGGGCAGGATGGGGCCGGGGCAGTGCCTGTCCTGGCACAACCCCGTGCAGTCACACCACCCTTGGCACGGCCGGGCTCGGGGCTGAGTCAGCAGCAGTGGCCCGGCGAGCAGAGGCGCGTTTGCTGGATCAGCTCCTCCAAAAACCCTCCTAAGCCCTCCGGAGGGCAGAGAAGTTGCGGTTCAAAGCGCCGGTACCTGTCCCGATCCCCGCCCCGCCTCTCTGAGCCCTCCGGGGCCGGCGGGCCGCGCTGGGGAGCGGCCGGGCTCAGCTCCCGGGGCCACGCAGCAGGATCCGGCCCTGAGCAGGGCTCCCTGCGCTGGCCCCGGGGCAGGGAGGGCACGCTGGGGCAGCCGAGGCCGTGGCCGAGCAGAGGACAGCGCAGGACCTGTCCTGGGTTGAGAAGGACTAACCAAGCCGGCTGGGATGATCCCAGATGGGCATCCCGAGGGTGGCACCCACAGCCTGATCCTGAGCACTGAGGGGCTCCAGCGTGAGCAAAGAACACCCAGCACCGTCCCCTCCAAGGGATAAAGCCCCCCCCGAGCCCTGAGAGCCCGGGAAGGAGGGTTTCACAGCAGGCCTTATCTCTCCCACAGTCTGTGGTGAAGCTGGACGGCGGGAAACTCGTCCACGTGCAGAAGTGGGACGGGAAGGAGACATCGCTGGTGCGGGAGCTGAAGGATGGGAAGTTAACTCTGGTAAGGAATGGGTGTTAAACCCGGGAAGGGCTCGGTCCAGGGCAGGCCAAGAGCTGGACTAACCCCTCTCTCATCATCTGCCCCCAGACTCTCACCATGGGCAACGTGGTCTGCACCCGCACCTACGAGAAGGCGACATAGACGCTGCCCCAGCCCCTGCTGTCACCCAGTGCCACGTCCATCCCACACCCCACATCCCCACCCGTGCTGGGCACAGCTCCACGTGGGACTGGAGCCGCTGCACCGCCGGGGCCTCCTGCTGTCCCCACCCCGGAGCCCCCCCGGGGCCTGGGGGGTGGGTTTGTGGTTTCTTGTTGGGGTTGTTTTTTTTAATTAATAATGGGAAAACTCGCATGGAAAAAAGAATAAAGGCCGTGTTGTTACAGCTCTGTGGTCGGTTTGCTTGGAAAAGGCTGGTCTGGCATGTGCCCATCTGTAGTGTTCAGCCACCACACAGGGTTCAACCAGCCCTGGCAGGGATGGGGTTAATGCCCACTGATCCCTGGAGCCCATTTCTCCAAGCTGTGGAAACAAGAGGCTGTGATGGTTAGAAATGTGCTTTCCCAGGGGGAATATTTGTTCAGTCCCACGGCAGCTCTGCCCATGGATTGCCCAGGATCCAGACAAGCTCCTGCCCTGGAGAGTGATCCTTCCACCAGGGCAGGACTGGAATCAAGGTCCCGAGCACTTGGTGGCTGGTTTTGGGAAGGGAACTGGCCCCGAGGGGGGATGCAGCCATGGGGAACTGGGGTGAGCAGCACAGGAAAGGGCAAAGCACACGGGGAAGGGACGGGCTGCACCAGCAACCCCAAATCCTCCCGCTGTGACACCAACAGGGAGTTGCCAACCCCACTCTGTCCTCCCTGTAGAGCCAGAGGCAACAGGAAAGACTCACCTCCCCAATTCCTTCACCACATCTGTCCCAGCACGAGAGGAGCTGCTCCTGCTCCTGGCAGATACCCTCTGAGGTCACTGCCCAGCCCCTGCCATCCCTTCCCCCTGACCTTCAGCTCCAGTTACAAGATTTATGCTCCAGTTGCTCCCTCCCAGAAGGCACCAGGCTTCTCCTATGGGTTACCTCACCACACACCCCCTTCCCACCCCAGGGACCTGGGGAAGCAGCCAAGACTTCCAAAAAAACCCTTTCCTGCAGGTCTGTGCCCTGTTCCTTCCCTGCCCGAGTGTGGCGGGGACAGAAGAAAAGAGTAGCTACCAAGTACAGCTGGAAATGGAAATGGCAGAGATTTCTTTTCCATCACTTTCCAAGGCAGCAAACACTGCAGAGTGTTTACTGACAATATCTCCACTCCCCACGTGCTTCTCGCTCCTCCACTCCCAGTGTTTGCAGACAAAGAGGGAGCTGGGGCAGCTTTGCAGCCCAAAGCCAAGGAGGGGGGGACGTGGCCCCATCCCAGGGCCCAGCAACACCCACTGAGCAGTGTGGGGACAGCCTGGCAGTGCCACCTCAGCTCTGCAGGAGCTGATGTCACCCAGGCTCCCGCTGGCAGCGCATCCAGCGGAACACGAGGCTGCAGGACAGGAGAGGTGCCCTGGAGAGGTGCCTGGGAGAGGTGCCCTGCAGGGTGTCATGAGCCTGTCCTGGCACGAGCTGTGGGAGAAAGGGGCAGCCTGTGCCAAGGTGACAGAGGACAACCTGCAGCAAGGTCACACCTGTAACACACCGGTAACACCACGTGCCTGGGTGACTTTGAGAAGGAAACTGTCCCTGGTTCCTGTTGGCTGCTCGTGGTGTGCACCAGGGACTGGCAATGCCAGCATCCCACCCTGCCCCTGCTCATTCCCAGGGCTACTTCCTGTGCTTCTTCTTCTTCTTCTTCTTCTTGGGAGCCTTGGAATGCTTGCTCCTCTTGCTGGAGGGCTGAGCCCCCGAGCTGTCCGAGTCCGAGCTGCTCGAGTCTGACTCTGAGGACTCCTTTGCCTTGTGCTTCTTTTTCTTCTTCTTCTCCTGGGAAAACAAATGGAAAACATGTGGGAACACTGTCACCTGTGCTCAGCAGGGCAGCAAGGGGCTTTGTGCCCCTGTGCCTCACGGCTGTTCCTGCCAGGAAAGGGCACTGTGCCCCAGGAGGCAGGAGTTTACCCCCACTGTGGGCCCACAGCTGCAGGAGCCGGGGACAGGGGATGGCACAGATCAGAGCAGGGGGGAGCAACATGGAAAGCCAAGCCTGGAAAGACTTAGACCAAAAGGAGAGTCCCTGTCCTCACTCCATGGTGAGAGCTCACTCCGTTATTTAAGGTTGATCTTTATTAATACAAGTTGGAAGGATGAAGCTTTTTCGCCCAAAAAACGGGTTTCTAAAATAGCCACGAGCACCATCCCTGTACCTCAGCCCGTCAGCAGCCCCCAGAATGCCAGGAGATGGTCAGTGATGTGCTGGAGCTCTCCAAACACAGCTGCTCCTCGCAGGGGAGCCCAAGCCGTGCCCACCAGAGCTTCCTGCAGCCAGGATGAACCCAGTGCCCTCCCAGCACCCACGCTCCGGGCACAACCTCCCTGCAGAGATGGCACCCCCTCCTGCCCCACAACTTCTCCTGCACCCCTTCCTGCCCCCCAACTTCCCACTGCACCCCCTCCTGCCCCACAACTTCTCCTGCACCCCCTCCTGCCCCCCAACTTCCCACTGCACCCTTTCCTGCCCCACAACTTCCCATTGCACCCCCTCCTGCCCCACAACTTCCCACTGCACCCTCTCCTACCCCACAACTTCCCACTGCACCCTCTCCTGCCCCACAACTTCCCCTGCCCCTCCTCTTCTGCTCTCCAATTTCCCATTGCACCATCCTGTGCTCCCCAACTTCTCCTGCTCTCCTGGATTCCCACTGCACCCGCTCATGCTCCCCAACTTCTTCTGCACCCCCTTCTCCTCCCCAGTTTCCCTTCCACATCCTCTTTCTCTCCAACTTCCACTGCACCCCATCCTGCCCCCAACTTCCCACTGCATCCCACCCTGCTCCCCAACTTTCTCTCCAACTCCTCTCCTGCCCCCCAACTTCCCCTGCACCCCCATCTGCTCCCCAATTTCTCTTCCACCCCCTCCTGATCTCCTGGATTCCTTTGCACACCCTCTTCCCCCCCAGCCTCCCTTGCACGCCTTCCTGCTCCCCAAATTTCTCTGCACCCCGTCCTGCTCCCCCACTTCTCACTGCACCCTCTCCTGGCCCCCAACTTCCCTCACACCCCCTCCTGCTCCCCACCTTCCCTTTGCACTCCCTCCTGCTCCCCAACTTCCCACTGCATCCCCGTGCTCTGCACTATCCCTTGCACCCTCCTGCCCAACTTCCCCCTGCAGGCCCTCCTGCTCTCCACCTTCCCTTGTCCCCCCTCCTGCCCCCCACTTCCCCCCCACACCTTCCTGCTCCCCACCTTCCCTTTGCATCCTCTCCTGCTCCCCAACTTCCCAGTGCACTCCTGCTGCTCTTCCTGGATTCCCACTGCACCCCTTCTTCTCCCCATCTTCCCACTGCACCCCCTCCTCCTCCCCAGTGTCCCTTCCACCCCCTCGTGCTCTCCTGGATTCCCTTGCACTCCCTCCTGCTCTCCCACCTTCCCCCCTCTCCATGACACATGGAGCCCCCCAGGCTGTGTTTCTGCAAAGCCCTGAAGCAAAAGCTCTCCATCATTTGGATGCAGAACAAGAACAGCTGGTGCTGGAATAAAGGTCACAAGGAACTCTGAAATGCAGCTAAACCCTCAAATTTGAGGCACGTGAGGAACCACCAAGCAGAGATTACCCTGAGATCAGGCCTGGGTGCACCAGAATTGCATCAGCAGAGCACCCCAAAGCACTGAACAGTTTGATGATGCAGAGCAGCAATTTGTATGTATTTAATCAGAAAACAGTGCTGGGGAGAGGATGTGATCAGCCTGTGCTGGCAGCACACACAGCCCAGCTGCTGCATCCCCTTCCAGCACGGAGAGGGGGAATGCTGGGGCCATCCAACCCCCATCCTGCAAAAAACTGAGGGATTCCCCTTCTTCTGGGAACTAAAGGGAAGCAGGTAAGTGGGCCTCTAAAAATAATTGTAATATCTTGGATATACTTAATATAAAGCTCCAGCTTCCCAACCAAAAGCAACACCAGCCTACAGCAGGGAGCTACCAATTCATCCACGGCCACATCAGCAGCAGAGACTTCCCTGGCAAATGTCTATCAGGGAATCATGGAATGGTTTGATTTGGAAGGGATCCTAATGATCATCCAGTTCCACTCCCTGCCATGGGCAGGGACACCTTCCATAGCCCAGGTTGCTCCAAGCCCTGTCCAACCTGGCCTTGGACACTTCCAGGGATCCAGGGGCAGCCACAGCTTCTCTGGGCAACCTGTGCCAGGGCCTCCCCACCCTCACAGCCAACAATTTCTTCCCAATATCCCATCTAACTCTGTCA